GCGAGCGAGTAGAGCGCCGGAGCGTGAGATTTGATGGCTGCTTTCGCCATTAAAGAAGCTCCACTCCCTCGATTTCTCAAGCAATAAAATCGGATCTACAGGGGAGAAGAAAACACAGACATCATTTCGCATTTCGTCGAGAGTAATTAATATTTATTATTCAATTTCTCCCAGAAATCAACAAAATACTGACCATTCCGAGCGTGTAACTTGCTTCTGAGTTGCCGGCTTCAACGCAGCGTTTGAGGAATCGGTGAGCGGACTCGCACCAGTTTTCGGTTTTAACTGCAAACGCTTTCGGTCCGGCTTTAGACAACACCAAAGGATGAAGAGCCAGGCGATTCAACCTCTTGCATCTGCAAAAACGACGAGAAATTTAAGAACCAAGCAAAATCGAAAACCTCGATTGCAAAATCAACAGGAGAAAACAGAGGAAATTAAAAAGAATCTCTAATTGTTCCTTGTAAAAAGGCGAGCGCGTACGTTAACAGAAGATTGAGGAGGTCGGAAGGGGAGGAGGCGGAGGAGGCGAGGCGGCGGAGGAGGTGAATTAGGAGATCGTCCGGCAAGACATCGAAGAGATCGGAATCTGCGGCGGGTTTCCGGCATGTTCTTGGCCTCTTGGAGGGAATCATGGGGCCGGCTTGGTTACATGCGTAAGAGTCAGATTTTGAAGTTCGGAAGCGGCGGCGGCGTCTTCTCTTCTCTTCTCTGGTATGGGAAATGTAACCGTTCTGGTTCGTCTTTTAATTTCTCTGTGCGTTCGGTAAAGACGAATTCCAACGGGGTAGTTTTTATATACAGGCATGGCAACCACCACTACGTTGCCTTGCGTTTGCGGGTGGGACCTCCGCTCCGTATGAGAGAGAATATATATTATTTTCTTAATTTGAGATTTAAATTTTAAAACGTAGAAGTTTGAATACGCCTTTCCTAATTTTCTTTATTTTAATGCTACGAATTTTATTAGCAAACTTCAAACCTTTTTTTTTTAAAGATACATGTTAAAATCATACCAAATACCAAATAAATAAAACAGAACAAAACCACTTCTAAGTAAATTTTAAATCTTTTTTTCAGTTCAAAAGTTCAACTTTGAGATGGTACCGAACTATGTTATTTTATTTATTTTGAACAGAAGAGTTATTTTATTTATTGGGCTAAGTTACATTGATATTAAATAATCTAGGGTTTTTTTAATGTATTATTGGTCATAACATTTGTAGATACAATGAAACCGAATGAATGATATAACCAATTTTACCTTATTCAAAAAGTTATTTTAAAAAATTTGAAGTTTTCTCGCCAATATTACATTTATAAGTTCAATAGCAAGATATTGTTCTTTTGGCATAAAAATGTATGGATGCACCCTATTAAGATCATTGAATAATTTGGTATAACGTCAACAAATTTTAAATTTTTTTTTTAGATATTTCATCATAAATGGAGGATGAAAGATTTTAAACCTACCTCTTCTAAATAAAAGTATAAACGAGACCATGCTTACATTGACCTATTAAAAATATAAACAAAAACTATAAAAAAGTTTAAAATATATCCAGATGACTTAGTCATTTATTAGAATTAACTTTTTATCAAAAAAAGGAAATTGCATTGAATGACAAAAAAAATATTTCATGGTATTTTAAAAATATAGGAAATTTCACTTTTTTTTTTTTTTGAATTCAAATCAAAATTTAAACTTCTGGTTATACTTAAAAATATATTTTTAATTTTTTCATTTGATTACCTGCCGTTTACATTCATAGATCGTTGTTTAAACTATTCCCTATTTCTTATAATTTAAATAATTACTCGAGAAACACGTACGTATATTCTTTAATTTCAATAATTAATTTAATTAAATGATATTTTGAAATACCTAACGATTCTACATAAATAATTACTTTATAAAACAAATGAATAAAAGGAAATAATAAATATCCATGCAAATTGATATAATTAAAAGGAATTATGGGCTATTTTATAAAATTACTTTACCAATGAAAAGGAAAAAAAAAAGAGAGAAAAAAAGAACAAAAAGAAAAATGACTTGGACTCAATTAAGATTACTAATACCTTTATCAAGTAGCTATATTGGGTTGTTCTATAAAACTGTTACAAATTCAAAGTTATAACCTATAATAATAAACTAGATAAGAAATTTCCATTATCATTAAAAATATATATATCGGATCGTAATCTTTAAAAAAATTACAACTTATATTGGAAAAACGTCTCAGTGTTCATATTTGTATTTATTTTTCATGTTAATAGGAAGACTGATAAAATATCTATCATCATGGTGAATTGGATTCCCAATTAATTGAAAAAAAATTATTTCCTTTCATCATGCAGCATCATTCTTAGGGGAAAAAAGGTTTTCCTTTTCTTTTTTTTTTCTTTAAATATTTTTTTAGTTTGGTTTGATATAGAAAACGAGGTCCGAGAATGAAGCAATATTTAGATGAATAAGCATTTGTTGACAAAATGAACATTCTTGAAAATTGGTGGGCGACACCGACTTATTCAATTTGATTTTGGGCTAAATTTAGAAAACTACCAAAGCTAATTATGAGTAATTGGCGTCATAATCTCCTGTTTTAAGTAAATGAGGATTTCATTCTATACAAATCATACCCCTTCTTAAATTCAAACCACACCCATTTTCTCTACTAATTTTTATTTGAAAACTTTCAATATCATTCATACTTTCTTAATTTATCACCCAAAAATATCATCCATATACATCTTTTTTTTCTTTTAAGTCTCTCGATTTCATGACAGTTGTAGTTAGGGGCCAAAGCCAATAACACCTTCCTTTAAAAAATAAATTTGAGAATATTATTTTAAATTGAAAATCCGAAATAAAGAAGTTTTAACAGACACATATGATTCTTAAAAATTGGGGGGAAAAATAAAACATAACCATAGCCAAATGATTCCAAAATAACCCTTTTGTCTATTTATTTATATATATGATAACAAAAGGATAAATTTGAAGATGTGGGAGTTGGTGGAACACATATCCTCTTCCCTTGTTTTAATTAATTTTTAAAAAAATTCCTACCCATCTGTTCTCACCAAAAAGAGATGAATGAATTGAAGCCTTTAGTTTGGTAGAAAACGTGTGCGGCATTGCAGCTTTTATCCCCTATACTTTTCCAGTGAAAACAAAAACCCTTTAATTTTATTTCTTTATTTTAAATAAATGCAAATAAGAATTTTTTTTTTTTAATGTGATTTGGTTAGTCTAAAAGTGTGTTCGGGAGCATACCCAAAATCATTTCCCTCTTCATTGATCATAAAATTAAAAAATTACATGACTCCAAAACATAGTATCTACCGATTAAAGTACTAATTACTAATTATTAACATATAACTAGTAAGCCACCAAGAGAGATAAGATACAGATGAAAACGAAAGAAAACAGAAACAACTTGATTGGCACTGTGTCGTTTCACGGAAAAAGAAAAGGATGAAGTGAAAARTAAAACACATGCACAAGAGGAATTGATTCGACATGATTGGGTTAAACGAAGAAGACATAATTTGTGTGTGTTAAAATTATTCATTATTGTTGTTATTATTATTAGTTGTTGCTAATTTAATATATTTCAAGTTAAAGCATCCCATCTTAAATTTCCACCGTCACGTTTATTTTTTAGAATGTACATTTTTTTTCTTTTAAAAAATTTAATTTTGAAAAATAAACTTGAAATATTTTAATAGGATATAGTAAATATTTATATAATTAATATGTAATCAATATTATTATTATATATAATTAATATTTAAGAATTTATTATTTAAATAGGGTTGGGCACTCTTCCCCGGTACCGTGCCATCCCTATCGGGGATCCAATTAATATGCCCCCATATATATATATATATATATATATATATATATAACATTATTAATATTATATAAAAAAGATTGACAAATTTTTTTTAGTCGGTGGGTATTGAAATTTGAATTCACAAACTTTTAATTGAAAAAATGTGCTTTAACCAGTTGATCTAGGCTCAATTTGGTATAAAAAAGCCATTAATTTACCAAATTTCAATTGTAAAATCAAACTATCTATTCTTAAAAGTTACGAAAATAAGTTAATCTTTTAAAATTATTTTGGAGTGCAAAAGCAATGTTGGTAAAGATACATATTAATCCATACAGTAACGTGTTGTYCAAGGATTCTTTGTTGTAAGATGATTATTATTTATTAAAATGATAACTTAAAATACAACCGGGATGCCAAAGCGAGCATAGCTCAACGTAATTGGCATATGCCTCAGAGTTTGTGAGTTCAAATTCCCTCCCCAACATATTGTACTAAAAAAAAGTACAAACAATTACCAAGAGTTTAGCTATATAATAATACAAATCTTCGATCTTGAAAAAAGAAGTACATTTATCATTGGATTATGCTTATGTTTGCCATATAAATGTGCGAGAAATCAAGAAACATAAATAGTTACTAAATATTTATATTTTAAAGATTGAAAATGAAAAATAAAATATTATCAAACAAGCCACACAACTTATTATTTGATACAATCATCAATTTAGAGTTTTATTTGATTCAATCTGCAAAATTTAAGAATATATAAAATATCATTTTTTCTAAAAATGAAGGAGATCTTTTTGTTTTTCTGAGGAGGAAAAAAAAAGAAGGAAGTGATCGTTGCAATAAACTTACATCGAAATTTGCAATTATATAAATATAATTCATCAATATTAATAAATTAAATTGAACCGACTCAATGAATCAACTTTTATTTTTTAAGAATAAAATCAACTTCATCTTTTATATCATATATAAAAATAAAGTTTGATTATTAAGTTTAGTGTTTAAATTTTTAGAACCGTATCGAATTTAGAGTAAATTTGAGAATAATTTTGATAAGACAAAATTACTTAACAGATAAATTAAAAAATTGATTTTAAGAAAATATAAAATATTGATTTTTTAAGGTGCCGACAGAAAGTGAAATTTAAAATAAATTGAATATTATTTTTATTTATTATTACAGTGGTTTTGTTTATTTTGTTTATTAAATTTTAAGTTATTTCATTATTTTGCTAATGTTACAAATACATGTGTTAAAGTTACTTATGTAACATATCTAAAAATGTTACATATGTGTTTAATTTTGAGCGAGATGTTACTTGTTTGTACAACTATCCACTATATATAGTCGTTGATTTCTTCATTTTGAGATATCCAAACATTTCTCAATTGAGTATTATTCTCCTCTCACAAGAATTATCTCTTCTTTTTGAGTTTTTATTCTTGTTTGTATTGAGAGCAAGTGTCTAAGAGTTCTGCTAGATTCGAGTAGTTCGAGGTTGCAGTTCTATTAAAGTTAGTCGTTGTATCATGCTGAGACGATCGCTGTAGTCTGCTAGCAACTTATGCAGAGCGAATAATTGTCTTCAGGTCAGCGGTATTGAAGCGTACATCGACTGTTTTATCAAGTTTTGGTGTTCGTCAAGTTTGTTCAAATTTATATGATTTGTAGCCAATTACTTTGTAATCTATTTGTCAGTACTACACAGTTCATATATACAGTGTATATTTACCCAACATGAAATAACTTAAAATTTATTTTTAAGTATCATTTAAGGGGTGAATTTGAAAAATCAATTATTCTTGAGTTTTTTTTTTCAAAATCACTCAAACACACCTTAATGAATTTACAAAATCGTTTTTCCTTTTAAAATAGTTCTTTAAACATAATTTAAATAAATTTTTGAGTTGATTAAGAACGAAAAAATTTCCAATAATTTGAACAATGAACCATGACGAAATAAAGAACATCCATCCAAAAATTTATAGACTTAAAAGATTCTACTTTATCGATAAATTATGTTCAACAATGATAACGATAAATTCTTGTATCCATATTCTTTATTAAGTTATTGTTCGTTGTTGAAATTATTGGAACTTTTTTTTTTATGTTCTTAATCACCTCCAAATTGACTTAAAGATTCTATTTAACACCTAAAAAAACTGCTTTAAAAGGGAAAACGATTCGGTAAATTTTCAATATTCCATAAGTCTACTTTTCTATGTTTATTCTAAAAAAGCTCTTGAAAAATTTTTCTTTTTGGAAAAGAAAAATTCTAAATTTTTAAATATTTAATATGTTACTAAATTTTTAATAAGTGAATTTAAAAAAACATCTAATAAGATAAGGATGTTGTGATGGTGTGTTGAATCTTAGTTATGATAACTGATGCTTTGGATATATTTAATTAAGAAAAGTAAGATTGATTGATGTTATCAATAAAGATTAGGTAGAACTCAAATTCCAACGTAAAGGAGAACAACTTTGGGTTTCGTAACCCAAAAAAAGAAGTTTTTTATTTTTCCTTTTTTAATAATATTAAAGATAAATTAATAATGAGAAAGGACACCTAATCGATGGAGATTGGAGAGAGCAAATATGATTACAAACTAACACTGATTACATTCACATGCATGAACCCATTCACATATTTAGTATTACACACACAGACAAACTGAAATATATAGATTTTGATCCCCACGCAACAATCATTGTAATGTTTTCACAAATCTCTCTCGAGATCCTTAATTCATTTTAAAAAATTTTAATTATATTCATGCCTGTCGTATAAATTTTGAATGAAATGTTGAGTTGATGAATGACAAAATATAAATAAATTGAGGAAGATTGAATCATAGGTTAATTGAATTTGAGATAAATTGGACGCTCTAAAATTAGAACTAGTATGTACTATAGTTGGTTTTTATTTTTTCTACCTATTAAAATATTACAACATAGATAATTGTATTAAATAAACATGTTAGAATCCTAGTTAGCATTAGCATTGTTATTTTAAGGACCAAAAGTGGGGATTAACAAAAACTCAATCAATATAAAAGTGTTAATATTATAAAATCTATTGATAAACAGAAATTAAACTAAAATTCAATGATAAAAGTATTAGCATTTATAATTCAATAGAATCTAAATTCAGAACTTAAAAATTAAAGTGTAACATTTTTAAACATAAAAAACCAAATCAAAACTAAACTTCAAATTAAAAAATTATTTTGCCCCTAAAATCTTAAATGGGACTAGAATCTCAAGAGCCAAGGCCCATTCCCTCAACAATAAACTTCATATTAGAGTTTACATTTTCACACAATTTTTTTTTCGTTATATTTTAAAATAAAATTCAAGTAAAGTTTATGAAATAAATTGAAGATTAGTATTTACTTTAAAATGACTAGTTAGAAAATAATAAAAATACCTTAAATGAAATATGTGTGATAAAGTGTATAGAGGGGAAAATGTCGGTAAGAGAGAAAAAATATGTATGGAAAGATATTGGGAAAAATAATTTGCATCAAAATAGCTCGAGAGAGAGAACACGTGAAGAAATAGATTAATGAAAGAGTGTAATAATAGAAAGATCAGAGCAGTTCAATTATGAGATAGGGATCTGTGTGTTTCCCGACACCAAATATTGTAGGATTAGATGACTACTCGTGAGATTAGTCCAGGTACGTGCAAGTTGGTCTGGACACTCATAAATAAAAATAAAATAAAATAGAGAAAAGCTCATAAATGAGAGAAGTTAGTAAGAAGGAAGGTGTAGGGGTATGTAGAGAATAATTAGTGAATGAAAGTGAATTTTGCGATATATGCATAAATATGACATTGAAAATTTGAAATTGAAGCCATAGCTAGGCCGCCCAGCAAGCAGCATCTTTGGCACTGGCGACAAAGGCATACCAACAACTCCCCACACTTCCACTTCCTTCCGCCCCTTGTCCTCCTGTTTTTGTGGGCCATATATGTCTCTCATTAAGCCCTACAAACTGCCCTTTTCTGACTCCACGTGTCCCAAGAATACTGGTTTTATTGGTATATTAAGTAAAAATACAATTGTTGTTCGATGCCGTGGAGATAACCGCCTTGGTCTAAGGCGCCAGATTAAGGTTCTGGTCCGAAAGGACGTGGGTTCAAATCTTAATGCTTAATTTTTGTGTTTGATCTCTGAGGAAGAGGAAATAAAGTATTAATTTAAATTCTTTTTGGGGCTTCGGTCATGTGCGGTGATGGTTGACGTGTCAAGCGTGTGAGGCCACCAGCCAACACAAAAAATAGCTTTCTCCCAAGAAAAAAGAAATAAAAGAAGAGGGACCCACTGAATAAACGATCCAAGTGGCATAGTCAGTGAACCCACAATTACGGTCAGTGGTCAGCCTCACTGGGGGCGCCCATCCCACGTGCCAACCTTCCCGCTGCGTGGTTTTTTGACATAGAAAGTGGAGTGAGTGCCCCTTTTTTCTCTTTTGTACTCTGCCCCGACATCTTCTTGCCCTACCAATAAAGCTCTCTTATTTTCTTATCTTATTAACTTAACCCCCCCTTTCCTTATTTTCTCACTCTCTTTATTATTTAATTTAAAAGATTTTCAACTCATTAAACGCACGTGCCACCCTAATTATTATCCCCCATGCTCCCTCCGGGCTTCTAACTATAGAAAAAATAATTAAAAATTAAGTCAAATGATTAAAAATGTAAGAGAATTGAAGGCAGATTATTATTATTATTAGATACTTAAAACAAAACTAAGGTCTTAATAATCCAATTACGCGATCCGTTATTTCCCCCATAATGGGGCGCCTCTTCCATAACGGAATTTATTCCACTCGTCTTTTTTTTTTCTGACATTTTATTTTCTCTGTGACCATCATGCCATTCATTCTTGTCCTTATTTCCCGGAATCTCCCTATATTACAAAATTTCTATCAATTGCAGGTTTTTTTTTTCAAAATAATAATAATGATATCAATTATTTGACTTCTACCTCATTTTTCTTTTAGTATGATCTATTGATATTTGATTAGAATGGACGACGTTGAAAATATTTTGAAATTATTCAAATAAGATCTACTAATGATTTAATATATCATAGAATATTAGAATTTAGATTTTAGAGTATACACTTAAATAATTATTCAAATTATTTGTGTTTTTTTGTAGTAAGAATAATATTGAAACTCATTGGATCAACTTTCAATATATATAAATATAGTAATTGCAAACCCTGATCAATGGTTCGTGATCCCCAGGCATATTATTCCTGTATATTTGATTTATTCATATAATTATTCTTGTGTGACAAGCGAGTTAATAATAAAAAAGTTGAATTCCTACCTCTGTAATGCTATAGAAAAACTTTAAAATAAATAAATAAGCTAGAATTTAAACCTATTTTATAATATGATAAATATAAAATTAATGTTGTTTGTACATTTTGCATTGGGCTTGCGGATGCAATTAGTAAATTATTGGGTTTTTTAACATGGAATGTAATACGGTGTCGCAAAAGATGTAATATGGAGTGAGTGAAAGATTATTTTAATCATGTTCATTTTTTTTAGTACACTAGATAGGTAGGTATGGGAGTGGAAATTATGATTCACAAGTCTTTTAATCGAAAATAAGTGTCTCAATTAGATGCAGAGGAGGCGGGTTAGAATTTAAATTCCACAAGCTAAGTATGAAAAAAAAGAGGATGGGTAAAATGGTAATTAGAGGTGCCAAATTGCTATATATATAGGTGCAAGTTCCTGGCAGTTGTTCCAGAGAGAGTCTGTTTCCCTTTGTACTAAAAAAACCCATCTTCAGCCCTTTTTAATTATCCTGAGAAATGGAAGACGAAGATCAGAAGGAGTTGCAGCTCCTCCCGACGCCTCACTCGATGGCATCGTCATCCCACATGTCGTCTCGGGCGGGCGAGTCGTCGTTCCGGTTCCGGTCGACGACGATRTCGGATCCGCTGTTCGAAGGCGGGGGTGCAGGTGCAGGTGCAGCAGGTGCGTCGCTGGACCTGCAGCTGTCGATCAGCGTGAGGCCAATCCGGGCGGCGTCGGAGCTGATGAAGCCGGAGGCGGCGGAGGCGCTGAAGTGGCAGGCGGCGGAGCAAATCCGGCTGGCCGCGATGGAGAAGGCGTACGCGGAGAGGGTGAGGGAGCTGACGAAGCGGGAGATAGAATTGGCGCAGACGGAATTCGCGAGGGCGCGGCAGATGTGGGAGAGGGCTCGCGAAGAGGTTGAAAAGGCGGAGCGTATGAAAGAGAGAGCCACGCGCCAAATGGATTCTACGTGCATGGAGATCACCTGCCAATCCTGCCGCCAGAGGTTTCGGCCTTCCTAAATCCTAATACCGTCATTAATTACTTTTTATTTCTCCCCATATTTTCTTCCCACAAGAATCTACAACTGAAATTCAGAGAGTTTAAGAAAAAATTAATAGAGAAAATATGGGTTATTAGTCAGATCATCTCATCAATCACACACAATAAAGAAATTTGGAAGCGGAATGCAAGTTTTCTTTTTTCTTTTTTTGGAATTTGGGTTGATTTTCTCTTCTTGGCTTCTTTAATGTGATGGATCATGGATCAAGCTGGGTGGTTTAAAATTAATTAAGTTGTATGATTATAGTAATCATCTGAATGATTTGTTTATGGCTTTTTCAAGTAGGGAGAAGATTTCATCATATATATTTTATTAGATTGCCTTTTCTTTCTCTCTTCTTTTCTGAAAGATCTCATTCATGTTATCACAATTCACACGACCACTAGACTGATGGGTACGAATAATTGAAGTACTGTTTCTCTCTCTATCTCTCTTCTTTTTTCCCTCCTCAGCAGATTTAATTTAATTTAAAGAATCAATCATTACATTTGGTGTTACGTATAATTAATTTACGTTTATATGGGAGAAATCAAACAATTTTTCTGTTTATGAGAAATTGTTTGGTATATGATTGCCAAAATTATTCGTTTTGTACACTGAAATTTCATCGCTGGATTTAGTTGGCTAAGTTATAAGTTAGATCTTTTGCCTAAATGAACAATCTTAGAAGAAGAAAAAACACACAAAAGTTTCATATGTATAAAATGATTCAGGAATCAATATGGGGTTTGAAGTGAAATTGAAAAAATATATTATTGAGTAATAGTGTTCGTATATTATTCTGTTGCAATGAATGGAATGGATCCATTTGGAGTAAAGAATGAGCAAGACTTTCCAACCACATACATGTTGTTGGGGATAAAAATACATGCAATGTTTAAAATAGAATGTCATTCTCCAATCTCCATATGCTTTGATTAATTGGCTGTATGTAAACTATTAACATTGGCGAAAAATATCATCCGCCCATTTCATGATACAATCATCAACTAAATACCTATGGAACTAATTAAGTAGTCTAATTAACTATTTTGTTCTATTCTCCAACTTTGCATAAAAATAAAAGTTATTTGAAAATGAAATAATTTGGAATCTAATAATATGTAGATGAGTTTGAAGATAGATTGAGGGAGAGAATAATTAAGAGGCAGCACTGAAATTGAGAGAGAGGAAAAAAAAGGAAAGAGTCAAAGGGTGAAAAGGGAAATAGTATAATGTAAGATAGATAGGGAGAGAAAGGCAAATGAATCAGAACAAAAAGCGAGTAATGGATAGGGAAGAAGAAGACAGAGAGATAGCTGTACCAATTTTGTTTTCAAGTCGTTAACTTTACCGCTCGTTCTAACCAAATACCAAACACCCCCACTATCACTGTCTGCAACTCCTCAAACCCTAACCCTAACCCTAAAATCTAGGACTTGAATAACACTTCTTCCACACGTGCCACCGCCACCGCCACCGCCACCGCCTGTGATCATCATTCTCACATTACATGACCCCATTGATCAAAAAAAGAAATAGAAATGGTAATTAATCTGGTTCTGTTATTGTTCAAAAAGCCACCCATTTGTCAGATTCACCATCATATCAAGTCAACATATCACTTCAGAAACCTAATTCTGAATGATATATATCTCTTAATTATTATCATTTTTTTTAGTAAAGTACTTTTAATTAAAAGTTATATATGTTGTTGAAGCTTAAGACTTTGAGAGATTGATTGATATATATTCGGGAGTGACCCATTGTGGGTGGCTGACTTTGCTCTTCTTCGGGCTAATTCGAAAGAGAGCTTCTTTCCATTATTGAAGCCTAAAGGTTGTCGAGTTTGGGTTTCAAAAATGTCGGGAAAATGAATGGGGGAGTGTGTCTCATATGAATGGAAGGTACCACACATTATTGTGTGCTCTTATTCATTATTTTGGTAGAAATCGAGTCGTCTCCATGGTGTAGCAAAGGACCTCAAGAGAACGAGAAGTGGAGCAGCTAGCAATTATTTTCAGAGAAAGTCGAGGAGGAGTGGGAAAAAGAGAGTAGGACATGGCTTGTCCAAACATCAAACTAGTGATTCCATTATGACTAAACCTTAACATTTTGTCCTTTCATATTGTCCATATATGGCTTCCAACTGATTCTCTCTTTCTCTCTCTCTCTCAGTTGCATTAATATCATACATAAATCAGCTATAATTAAATTCAATGAGATATTGGTGGTAGAATCAAGAACGAGTTGCATTGGTATATATAGAAATTCACAAGCCATGGAACTGTTGATGAGAAGACAGAAATTTTTTCTCCCAAGTTTTCAGCCTTTTGAAGAAACATATAACAGAAGCAGAAGTTTCGTACGGTACAGCGCCCAACAGTGATGAATCTATCTGGGTTTGGTTGGTCAATCATTAATTGATTAAAAGATGGTTCCAAAATTAAACATCAAAATAATTAAACTGTCAGAAGGGGCAAAATTCTGAGAAGTTGGGAGCGTTGGTTGCTGAAGTGGTGATGCCAAGTTTTTAAAGTTGTCAGCTGGGACAGAGGAAGGGATTGTGGGAGGGAGGGTTTTTGTTTCTTCAGAGGCCATGGTGGTGAAGGTCAAGGATGGTAAATTTCCAAATATGACAACCTTTTACCCTTCTCTTTCTAGGTGAGAGAGAGAGAGAGATGAAGATTTGATGGTGTGGTCATATCAAAGCCCAATGAATGGAAGGGAAGGGAAAGGTAGCTTTCATTTGAAGCTACAAAAGTTGGGAAAAATAATGTGTGTGGGTGTGGGACTCAGCTCTTTTGAAAGTCACAACTTGAACTTGAACTTGAACTTGAACTTTAACATGTGGGAATGAGATGCAGTTTTATGGGAATATATATATCAAAATTGGGATACTTGATGATCCAAGTTTTCTTTTGCTCTTTTCTGCTTCCCCAATTTCATGCATGGCAAAATTCAAAACACTATCATTCATCTACAACCACTTTTGGTTTCAATAATTGAATTCTAAAGAAAAACCAAACCCCTCCCTCTTTGGTTGAGGCTGCCCTTTTCTCTGCTACATTTCAGGTTCTCTTCAAACCTTGATGTCCTGTTTTTACAAACGCCAACAGTAACAGAATCAAGGTTCTTACTAGTTACTTCGACACCCCGACACCAGTATAACCGTATCGTATTTCACGAAACGGTAGGATACTCCGTGATTTGCTATCATTTTAGATGAGAATCAACTTATGATTCATATAAGAACTAAAGAGAGAGTGGGAGACCCAGGTATAAAGGGCGTGGGATGTACCTGAAGAAATAAGGATGTCAAGTGATTATTAAATTCTCATTTCCGAGCTGTAAACATGGCCCCAAGTATTAAAGAAAGGAAGAGGAAAAGGATAACAGGACAAAGAACTAGGAGACAACATAATAGAGATTAGGGAGGGAGGAACTCTTACAACATTGTTTATAAGATAAAGCAACAAGAAACCAACAAAAGAAACTAAAAGAGAAGGAACAAAAATGTACATATAACATGATGGGAGTGAAAAGGATATATTATTCATATTAGTATTCGGATCTTCCATCTCCCTCTGTTATCACATCTTTGAAAGCACCGCCGCTCGGGATCATCGGTAGCACATGTTCCTGATGCGGTACGATCACATCCAACAAGTATGGCCCCTCAGTCTCCAGCATCTTCTTTATTGCTGCTTTTACTTCTGACTTCTTCGTCACTCGGGCTGCTGGGATCCCGCAGGCCTCTGCAAACTTCAACATGTTGGGAAATATCGCGGACTCGTTTGATGGATCTCCAAGGTACGTGTGAGCCCTGTTGGCTTTGTAGAACCGATCCTCCCACTGCACAACCATGCCCAGATGCTGGTTGTTCAGGAGCAGGATCTTGACTGGAAGTTTCTCCACGCTGATGGCTGCGAGTTCCTGGATGTTCATGATGAAACTCCCATCCCCATCAATGTCTACAACCACCGC